GAGATCGCCCCTGTTTTCGTGCTAATGGAGCAGCTGACACTGAAAAAGATGAGAGAGATCATTGGCTGGCCGGATGGAGAGGGTGATGGAATATTTTCTCCAGGTAAAAGCGCAACCAATGATCAACTTGTAATAGGAGCTCAGGAAGTGGCTGAATAGGATCAAAGCCTTCATACAACCTCTTGTTATTATGCTTTGTTTTCACAGACGTACCTACTGTATGTTCTGTCCTGTAGCTGTGAATTTGTATCATCCACTGCTACATGGTTGAGATCAAAATATAGCAAAGTACTCATTATGTAAAGCGGCCCATTTCTGAAGACTATACAATGCATTTGGATCATAATTATTGGTGCATCAGTGTGTGAGCATCCCTTTAATGTAGCAAGAAGTATAGGCAGAGCTCATCTGAACTACTTTTTAAACTGCTGAAGCATATGAAGCACAATTTATTTCTTAATTATATTTATATTATCCATATGAATCTGCAAACTTGGAAATAAGGCCGACAAATACCAGTAGTGGAGGAAAAAGTGTCATTTTTGTCTTTTAAAATGTAGAGAAGAAGCATAAAATACTTCAAATGTGAGCTTCATTGCAGCACTCTGTGGGATTTTACAGGAGGAGCCATCTCCAACATGTACAGCGTGATGATCGCCAGATACAAGTACTTCCCCGAAGTCAAGACCAAAGGAATGGCGGCTGCACCCAGACTGATCCTCTTCACCTCAGAGCACGTCAGTCCAACTCCGTCTCTCTGTTACTGATCCTAATTTATGTCAATTAATGTCCCCCCAACATGAATTGTGACCGACGACCTTCTGTTACTGCAGAGCCACTACTCCATCAAGAAGGCCAGTGCAGCTCTGGGCTTCGGAACAGAGAACCTGATCCTTTTGAACACAGATGAGAGGTTTGCTTTGAGTTTAACCTACAAGCACGCAGCTTGATAAAATGTTAAATAATCTGGATGACTTATGTTTGCTTATTTTCCAGAGGGAGAGTCATTCCTGCTGATTTGGAAGCCAAAGTAATAGCGGCCAAGCAAAAGGTAAATGTCAGCAGCAGCGACTCAGACGTCGCCTTTCTAACTTGTTTATTTCCTTCTATCAGTTACTCCGTACAATGAGAGACACTAATACAGTGTGAGCTGTGGGGGAAACAGTGTGCCGGAGCAGTGAGGCCATTTCAATAAGGTTAATGCTGCTGTCTGTTCACATGCGAAGCTGCTCTGGTCTAAAGTACCTCTCCTGGAAGTCTTTCTTCAAAGGCGAAGTGAAGTGCAGACGGGGAAGCAATTCGGCCTCAACAATAGGGAGGAGGGCATTATTTGAGAAATGTGCTTTAACCCATCGCTTTGATGTCAACAATCACAGGGAGAACAACAACATAACCACTAGAATTCAACCCAGAATTGTTCTTTTTCTCTGCGTCTGGCTTGCAGGGGTATGTTCCCATGTTTGTGAATGCCACCGCTGGGACCACCGTCTACGGAGCCTTTGATCCCATCAACGAAATTGCAGACATCTGCGAAAAGTACAACATGTGGCTTCATGTGGATGTAAGCGAAAACTGATAATTTCCAATATAAAAATGAATACCAGCTGTAAATATCAGCTCTCTGTTGCGCCGCTGTGATCAATATCTGCATCTTAGGGATGATGTCCATGTTGTGTTCTTTGCAGGGAGCCTGGGGAGGAGGTTTGCTGATGTCCAGGAAACACAGACACAAGCTGAACGGAGTGGAGAGGTAAATGAATGCAGCACATGATCATGTTAACATCAGTGTTAGCTTTGGTTTGAGTGTTATCAGCCCTTTCTGAATCACATTTGACAAACTAGACATCATGTGAACAGTTCTAAAGACATTATCAGTACCACAGTAACAATAATCTGGTGTGTCGATGGCAAAACAGTTGCTTCATACATTTTCCATTGTCTCCACTGGCACACACACAAAAAAGAAGAAACTTTAAACAGAGAAGGGGTCCCTCCTCCAAGGTGGACACACCTGCAATAGATGTCATGTGTACATAAAAAAGCAACAAACTAAATTGACAGTCTGGACAGTCAGGATGATGAAACACACATAGCAGGAAAAAACTCCAGGAAGGGAGAGAGAGGCCAGAGGACAAGTTGAATCTCCTCAAGAACAAAGAGTCAGATCAAACGTGTCTTAAAAGAGACATCTAGCCCAGGAGAGATGTCCCAGCATGGCTGATGGTCCAGCACAGAGAAGCCTGAGTGATAAAAGAGGACAGGGAGGGAAATAGGAAACAGTGAGAGAGAGAGAAAGTTACAAAGCTCTGACACTCATGTGTTTGAGAGACAACAGAGTAAGTGAAGGCTTTTGTAAGCCTTAAAGGTCCAGTGTGCAGGATTTAGTGGCATCTATTGGTGCTTCTGCAGATTGCTACCAGCTGAATATTCCTCCCTTCACCCTCCTTTGCAAGCATGTTGGAAAACCTGCTGTGAAAACACATTCTGGGCTGCTATAGAAACACAGCAACAAGGTGGATTCAGTTAAAAAAAAAGACTCATTCTAAGGTTTTAAAAAAAACTGAAACAAAACATAACCATTCTTAATTTCAGGTAATTACGGACCTTGAACTCTCTGCACACTACAATCTGTTGGCAGATTCAAAAGCTGTGTCATCTTTTTTTAGAAATGTATAGGAGCCAGAAACTGTTTTAATCCAGTCCCTAACCCTAACACACTTTTAATGTGCCAAACAAAAAAACCTGCTGTGTCTTACAATACACAACTTACGGTTTGCCTGGGACTAAAAGAAAAAGGTAAAATCTCACAGCTGTAGTCGGCTCCCATCGCCACAGATGTCTTAAATCTTATCTTTCAAAAGACAAATATGCAGAGTTATTTGGATTGAATCAGTTCCTGAGAGGATCGGCGTCTTTCTCAGATTACTTTTTCTGTTCCCAGACGCGATAAACACACTCGCACACATCCTTCACAGAGCTGTGTTTACTGTTTCAATATCTGCACAGGGCCAACTCAGTCACCTGGAACCCTCATAAGATGATGGGAGTGCCGCTGCAGTGCTCTGCCATTCTGGTCAGAGAGAGGGTGAGAGTGTGATTTCCACTTTCCTGCTCCACACAGCACCGCCTCTGCACACCAACAGCAGCTTTTTACTAAAAAAAACGCATCATCTCTCATTGCAATCGTTTCCGTTGCAGGGGTTATTACAAGGCTGCAACTCCATGTGTGCTGGATACCTTTTCCAGCCGGACAAACAGTACGATGTTACATATGACACAGGCGACAAGGCCATCCAGTGTGGGCGGCATGTCGATATCTTCAAGTTCTGGCTCATGTGGAAGGCAAAGGTGTGTTTTTATGTATGAACTCACTGCTTCTATCGGTTCTGCAGAACATGATGGTAACAATTCTTCTTTTTTTTCTACCTAAAAGGGAACAGTAGGATTTGAGCAGCATATCGACAAGTGCCTGGATCTGTCAGCGTACCTCTACAATAAAATAAAAAACCGAGAGGGCTTTGAGATGGTGTTCAACAGCGAGGTGAGAGGATTGTTCCCACAAATATTTGAAGAGTTCATTTGCAAACTCCATCTTCACAAACCTTCAGAAAACCCATTTTTCCATCATCTACCTGAAACAATATTAATCAAACTTCAGTTATCTCTATTTTTGTCATTTCTACTGAGTCAAACCCACTCAACTTCAGTTTGGTATTATCTCAAGCAAACAACAAAAAAATAACAATAAATGGAGTTATCTGTTTTTGCAAATGAGCTCTTCTTTCTCAAATGAACGTTCACTGCAGTGCAAACTCAGATTATCAGCTGCAGCAACAATCACTCTGTTTTTATCTGAGCTGCTGTCCTGCTTTACAAAACCCAGATTTTATTTTATTTTTTTTACCACCGTAATGTCGAGTTTCATATCTTGACTTGGTTTTAGGATTGATCGGCTCATTTTGCCTTGCTGACACGTTGACAAGAAAACGCTGAAGTTACAGAAGGCAGTTTTTGTCGGCGCTCACTGCAAATGTTGTTCCCATTTTCTCTTATCAGCCGCAGCACACTAATGTCTGCTTCTGGTACTTTCCACCGAGCCTGCGAGGTCTGCCTGATGGCGAAGAGAGGCGGGAGAGGTTGCACAAGGTAATGACTCATTAATCTCCTTTTTAGGCTTCATTTCTAGTTCATTTCTTGTTCCCCTAGTCTATTGGATTGATTGAGTATTTTAAATGCTTGGATTCACCAATTTGTACAGTAAAGTAAAGCACGATTGTGTATGCTTCAAGCAAAGTTCTGAATTCTGCACATTTTCTGCAACAGGTGGCCCCAAAGATCAAGGCCATGATGATGGAGTCGGGGACCACGATGGTGGGTTACCAGCCACAGGGAGACAAAGTCAACTTCTTCCGCATGGTGATCTCCAACCCCGCCGCCACCAGGTCAGACATCGACTTCCTGGTGGAGGAGATCGAGCGACTGGGCCACGACCTGTAAGAGCCACACCTGCGTAATAAAACCTTTTTCTTTCCCTCCAAACATTTGTCTTTTCCAACTCTGGAGAGCCTTGAGCTTGGCTTCGTGTCCCCTTTGTCTCATAAAGACGTTGAGATTTTTTTGCTTACGGATCTTTTCCGGCAGTGCACATACGAATAACGATACGCCCCGTGTGTTCCCGTCTCTTCTGTCTTTAGCAACAGTATATTTAAAACATTAGCACACCAGGATAAAAAAAAAAAAAAAAGAACAAAGCACAGTGGTGTTCTTGCTAAGACATATGTGAGGTGGAAAGAGATTGATACGGTGGTAATGTGGTGAGTTTTATGGAAATATGCAGTGGCAAGAATATCTGAACACGACATGATTCTGTATGAAGCAGCTATAAAAATATTACTGTTGGTTGGTATTAAAAACAGAATGAAATCCAAATATTTTTCCACAAAGCACAGTGTAGAAAATATTGACATAAACAGCATTAATATAAGCTAATTATTATTATTATTATATATATGGTAATTATCAAGCCAGATGCACCACAACATTGTAGCTGTTCTTTCCCTTTGATATTACATACGTGGGAACATATAGCACAGTCACTGTACTTGATTGCTGTGTTTTTAGACATCTTTGTGTAGACTGTGTAAAGTATTGTTAAATTGCCTTCGTGCCAAATGTGTCCTAGTTTTACAGTGAGAAAATCCTATATGTAAATCGACCATAAAGTACAGTCTGTGATAGATGAATCACTTTATTTATATTGAGAGATTATAATTGTGACGATCCGCTGTTCTGTTCCATTTGTAACGTAACCTCCCTGCTGTTTGGAATCTCTGCTGTATTATATCGCAATGTTTTGAATAACATTTACATCTTTTAGTGTATTTGTGAACCAAAGAAGGGTTAAGTTACATTTATGAATACGTACGTGGCCCTTATTCTCCCTTAAGGAAGGATTCAGATGTTTATATAAGAGTACTTAATTTACCGCCTTTAACGTTAGTGCAATCTATGTTGTGTAACTGTGCGATGTCGTTGTGATTCACTGACTGAATGTTGTCCAGACACTCGGCTACACGTGGGAGGACTGACTGGCGGTGCGGCTGCAGCTGCTGCCGCCGCCGCTGCCTGTGCTTCGTTAATGACAAAAAGCACAACAACGCTAAACCATGATCATGGGGCAGCTTTTATTCTAGGGACATATGATTGTCTGTATTATAATGTGTTAGGTGGAGTTATACTATAATATGCAAAATTTCCTTTGTCTTAACATGCTAACTTAACTGTAGGCACAATTTTATGTTGAGAAAAATCTATGTGACAAACTGGGATTATTTATCATTAAGCCTTTTGCTTGAACAATGAAATGCACAGAGTTTGCTATTGTAATAAGATTTATTGAACAATTGTACATTCCTGAATTAGTGGGATGAGACGTCCCTTGTTGTATTCAGTGTAGGCACTTTAACGAATCATTTGCAGAGTATTACTGGTGTATCCACGACACTAATAAAGACATGAGCTGTAGAACATCTGTGGCACAATCATTTGCCGTTTGTCTAAAAAGACTTGGGAACTTTAGAAATAAATATATGAGCCTCTTTAATTTTAGGTGACACTGGATTTACCTTCTTATTGTTTGGGATTCCACTGAATCCAGTTTTATATGCAAGAATACTAGAAAAAGCGAAAGAGTCTTTAACTGTACAACAACTAAATAAGGTGACAAAATACGGAGATGACCACAAAGCATTGTTTTATATGTTTGTCTTGTTCGCCAAAAAGGAATCCACAGATAAAGAAATCCCTTCCTATATCGTGTTATTACCTTTGGGTCAGTTATAGGACAGTTTGATGGGTCAGATGTGTCATTTTTGTTCAGAGTGTCGGTGTATGAATCAGACAGCAACACAGAAAATATGATCACGATACCATACAGTAATTCTACGACACAATGAAGACAATTATCTACCATACATCACAGTAAATGTGTAGCTGAAGAACAAAAAACACCCCTAAACAGACAAAAAGTGGGAATTATGTGTCTATTCAATGCACTGTGGTGTCCGTCTGTGTGTATTATCATTACTGATCAGTTTTAATAATCATTCTGATTTGCTTTCCTCCAGTGTCTGCCATGTTCCCCCCTTGAGTTTCTTCTTCACCACAAGTTAATTACATTCCCTTCACCTTCAGTCACTTAAAAAGTATCACCATGAGGAGTAACAAGAAGCTTTATTTTTATTGTACAAAAAATACAAGGACATTTTGTTTGGCATCATCTTTGTAGCAGCTAATATGGTCACCGTCTAAGAAAAGAAAAGTTAAAAGGTGATATAATAAATAATAAAATAGCAATAAAATAAATATTAAAAGTGAGTAATGAAGTAGAAACTCTCGTGAGTCAAATCCATTTACAGTGTCTGCATGTTCTAAAAAAAAAAAGCCACTATTTGGTATCGAGTATCAACAATTTATCACAAGAAGAACTGATACAATATAATGCTGTATAGATATTTATATATATAGATGTCCCACCCCTTGATTTTAGAATCATCTTCATATACAGTTCTCATAAAATTTGGAAAACATCTGAGGCTGATGAAACAATGCTCAGTTTGCTGTCTGATTTGGTAAAACAGGCCTCCAGGACCCCAAACACAACATCAAAGAAACCCACTGTTCATCCGTCACAAACTGACAAGAGAAGATCATTTCTGTGCCGATGTCCAATCATTACACAGCTGAATTCAATATATGGAAAAAGAGTCATAATCTGGTCATTAATCAGTCTTGGACATTATCTATGTACAGAGGAAAGGCCTGAACCCTTGACCCCAACAGTCAGGTGGGTCTGTTGTGCTGCAGGGGACATTTTTATGGCATAGTTTGGATCCGCTTGTTCCCTATTAGGGACAAATCACTGCAAATCAATGCAAAGGCAAATCTGAGTGATCGTCTTCATCCTCTGATGAAGCATTTAATGGGGGCGGGCTCCTCCTGAGGGCACCAGGGGTCACGGGATGGTTTGGTGAGCATGAAAATGATGTGACTCATATCACAGTCACCAGATCTCAACCAAATTAAACACCTATGGGAGATTTGGGACTGACTGCTCCCCAGGAAACATCATCAAAACACCAAATGAGGGAGAGTTTAGAGCAGGGGTCTCCAATCCTTCAAATGATCAGCTCATCATCAACCTCTGCAGAAGCCTGATAATGATCCTGATCATTTGAACCAGGTGTACTGGAAGAGGGAAACATCTAAAACATGCAGGACTGTGGCTCTCGAGGACCAGGATTGGAGACCCCTGGTTTTAGAGGCTTGGAGAATCAAGCCAAGCTGCTCTGGTGGCACACAGCGACACTTTATGTTGATTTTCCCTTTAAATTGTCATCTATCTATATAATCCTGCAGTAAGGGGCAGGCTGGGGTAAAAGTGCATGTAATCTATTTTTACTTTCTTTTTTTTTTCTTTTTCTGGTACATCTTTTCAATCCACTTAGCTGTCACCAACCACTGGTCAGATTAATCACCCAGGAGGGACTTTTTATTGGCTGATCATCTCACAGCTGAGATTTCATGAGCACCTCCTGCCAATCCCTCCGCTTCCCTCATTACTCACACTTTTGTCATAAAATGCATTAGACTGTGATCTCTTAACATTTTTTCTCCTCCTGCAGAGCCTATTCCAAGGCTGTGCTTGGCTGTGTTTTATTTCGGCGCAGCCATAGGAGGACCGACTGTTTCAGTAGCTCTCCTCCCTTCCTCCACAGACGCTGTTTCTTTGTTTCATGCTTCAGTGCAGCGATCATTACAGACCTGATGTCAATGGCTGCTTTGTGAAGTTACAGGCAACAGAGGATTAAAGGAATAACCGCTCATAATGGGCTAATAGAAATAATAACCTTTGACTTCTTGCCACGTCTGCGGAGAGAGTGATATTTTGTTTGTTGCGCTACGGGCAGTCGTGTCACTGAAGGTTAAATGTGCCAAAGCGTAATAACATGGCTAATTTGGAAGCAGGTGCTGGAGAATATTGTAATGATTAAATGCAAATGAAACCTGGTCTTCAGCTCCTGTAGTTTGTCACAGTCTAGTAACTCTGGACATGAACGAATGGCCTCGAGCACAGCCACGGGATCAGTCAACAAAATATCAGCCAGTTTATCCGGAATAATGCAAAAATATTTCATCAAATTAATCCTGCTGGTGAGGGTGATGGTTAAAAATGTGTGGAAAGAGCAGATTTATCGCTGATTTAGGCTGTAAGATCAATATTTAGTGTTTGAAGGCACTTTAATCTGATATCAGTATCTCCATCAATTTTAACTATAGTCATAATTAAAGTTGATAAAGTGGAGATCAGGGCTGTAAAATAATAGGGAGACGAAGCAGCTCTGTTTTTGCAGCAGTCTCTGGAGGTTGGCTGGGCCGACTCTAAAACACCAGACTGTGAAACACTTAATGTCTGTCTCTGCACTAGTCTGTTCACCCTCCATTTCACACCTGGCACACACACACACACACACACACACACACACACACACACACACACACACTCACACACAAAGGATTCATTATAATACTGCAACAAAGACGATCACATTTACGAGGCTCATTGCATAACCTCTCACCCTGCGCTCATTTCATTTCCATAACTGACACATTTTTGTTTGGTTGAATATTTCGAGGTAAAAACTTTCTACTCTCACGCACACAATAGGCGGCTCGCCCATCTATCCCTCCTCAGCTGTGTTACTCCTCTCTCTTATACATCTATGAATCTTGTCAGTGGTTTCCCGATGTGCCAAATATATCTCCCGCCCCTGGGAATCACTGCCACATTAGCTTCCTGATAGATACTGACGTTCCCATTGTGTGAGGCAAGTCTAATGAAATGATGATGATGATATTGACTGCGGGCTGCTTGCCAGCCCTTCCCCCTTCTTCTGCACACACCATTCACACACACATGCAGCTATAACCACAGTTTATCCTCTGAACAACTGCTTTATTCTTAACCTGTTACCTCATATTAAGAGTATCTTAGCAGCATTTTCGCTTGATTAGTTTAAAAGGAAAAGAATAAATGTGTTCTTCTTCTATATTGGGTGTTTATGTGCCTCTCCAACCTGTGCATTTTCCTCTTAAATTCAAGCTCAACAGCAGCAGTGCTCGACAAAACCGTGATAACAGAATCAATTATAACACCTTAAGGCCTCTGACTTTTAAAGTAATTATAATGGGTTACACTTATCTAAATAGCCTCCTCCTATTGACTGCGTGTCCACAACTTGATTAATCTTGGCAGTAAGTAAATTTTAAGCAGGAGATTAATAGTCCACACACTGTAACTTGCCTGTCTCCATGGCTGGGGAGTGTAAACCTAATGTGGCGCTTGTTAAAGTTGAAAGGCTGCTAGTAAATGTCTCTGTTGGACATTTTCTAAAGGAATAAGCATGAGCCCTGGAGCAATTACACTGCAGCTTACCAAGTCTCTGTGTGGTGATTGCTATCACGCATGCTAAATGAACAAAACAACCTCACAGCAACGTGACGGTAATCTGGTGCTGCAAAGCCTTCAAACGCGATTTGCTGTTTTCTGCAGGAACACTGAGACGTTCTTTCTCTTGAATAGGAAACTATTGGGCAACGCAGGACTGGAAACATGTGTTTGATGTCTCTAAAATTAAAATGATCAACAGCAATAATAACAATGTGATAACTACCTGCGCCGGTGTTTGGCTCTGCTGCTCTGTCATCCTAATAGAGGCCTTTCTAATTCACTTAGCGTTTTATCTCTGCCTCCCAGCACGGCAGACAACATTATGTCGGTGGAGAGCATGCATTTATTAGACAACCTTTTCATGCTGCAAAAACTGACCTCTCACAGATGCAGGGGCATTAAGCAACTAACCCTGACAGTAACGGCTTATGATGTTTGTCGCTTTGCCTTTTCTTACTGTGTGGAAATGTAGTGTGTGTGCGTGGGGAGAGTGTGTGCTAATGTCTTCTCTGCCATCACATACTGGGTGTCTGTGGTAAAAGAAAAGAGGAAGAAAAAGCCCAAACAAAAGGACACTGCACTTCTTTGCAGCTTTAGTTGTAAATTCCTTGTGGGACTGAAGAAATATAAATCTGAGAGAGCTATCCAGAACAGTGATCGCAGAGTTTTAAGGCGTCAGCAAGCTGCTGCTGAAATACAGAGTTTATTTATCTGCTTCTTCAAAGAGCAAGTGTCACCATGTAAAGTATATTTCTAACTGGTAGTAAATAACGGATATAAAGAATTGTTAAGAACAATGAATGATTTGAGTCATATATGTTGTTTATGTCCGCGATAAATAAAAAAGACAAATTAGCAGCAGTATGCAGTTGGTTGTATATAACACGAATAAAGCCAAAAGAAGACAGATCCAGATGATCTTAGATAGAACAAGAAATAAGCCTGAATATCTACAGCTATGCTAATTACCATTGGGCCCAAAGGAGGCTATAGCTGAGGCAGATGGAAACGTCATTAGGATAAAATGTTGACCTGCTGATTGAGCAGGACCCAGAGGAGACGTCAGAACGCTGCTATGATGTGAAGATATTTCACCAGATATGTGAAAGCGTGACCTGCTGGTGGCACTAGATGAAAAGTCAAGAAAACAACACAACAGTTTTATTTATATTATATAGATTTATATTCTGTGGAGCAGGAATATTGGTGCAGAATTCCATGACAACCTTATAAAGTGGTGAACTGACCCACAGAACCACTAACTAAAAACCTCTCTGTATGACAAGCCTTTGATGGAATTTTTTTTTTCTGGGATCACATAAATGTAAAATGAAATCCTTATTCTGTGATTACTTGAAGTACAATTTCAGTTCAGGCAATAATTTTAAGAGTAAAATGTTCTTGTCAGGATCAAAACAGCACAATCTCCTGTCCTGAATCCGAGCATTTTAAGCTTAAAGCATCTTCCAGTGAGCCTGCAGAGAGACAGCATCAGGACCAGAAGCTCCAACAGACACAGAGACTGACGGGATAACTGATGATTGATGAGGTGAATCACTATGCTGTGCAAGTTTACTTCAAATTATTTGATAAGAGCTGCTGCACGACAGAGATATTCAATTACATAAACATTCATCTACGACTTGAGCTGATGATATCCGTTATCGTCGCCGTTTGATCACAGAGACAGTTTTATTCTTTCACATTTCCTCGGCTGCTCCGGCATAATTATACGACCAAATCGAAAGCATCTGGGATCTGAATAAAAAAAATAACTTATAAGATAAAACCGCAGTTTTTTACTGACATTTCTCAGCCATGTTAATGTTACAGATGGTGACAGGAAATGATGTACAAGGTAAGAACAGCTACAGAAAAGGAGGCAGAACTCTGAATGGCTACACAACACGATGCCACAGTTTCCTGGAGGAAGGCACGGTACTTGTGAGTGGCTTTGTCTGTGAAGGAGGGGAAGGAAATATAAGGAAATAAAACAGAGACACAACAGTCCTGCATGTATTTGGAATTAATCAAGGAAGAGAGGACACATATCAGCTGCAATATAAGTCACTACTATACTATAATTCTTAGGGTTAAAGTGTATATTCATGATGTATGCATCACACACTAAGTGTTGAATTAATGCTCCACATGTCGCTCAGTCAAACTTTACTGCTGACTAATCCACTCTATAAAATCAACATCTTTCACGAGTTGATCATCTGCAAAATAAATGATTATCAGATTACAGCGCAATATTTTCTAAATAGGTGTTAGTGCCACTAGCTCAAATTCATACACAAGTAACCTAGATGTGAGCTTAGAAAACTCAAATATTCAGATCTCCTGTTTTGACCTGGTAAAATTCCAGAGCAATTATACATTTTTAATGGTAAGCTGCTTTTGAATAAAGACACGACCTGGCCTGCAGCTCACAGACTTGAGACTTTACTTAGACTTTCTCTGTAAAACAGTTGCTAGATGAACCTTTCTGGGACCCTAAATGCAAAAACTATTTTTTAAAAAATGCTGTTGAGCCTCTACTGACCTCCTCATCCTCCACCTGCTGCCCCGAGTGCATCTATTTCAAAATATGCACCATGTGAAGCTAAAATAATTAAAACCAACTGTTTTCTGGCACAACTAGCGAGGCTACTGCTCAGCATGTTTTATAAATAGCTCGAAACCTCTTTTTTTTGTAAGAAAGGTAAGAACATTAATTAAAAACAATAGCTGTGGCTCTATCTCTCTGTTTTTCTGATCATGTGTTTCATCTGAAGTTCCCTGAGTATATTAAACAATACAGTTAAAACTCTGCAAAACTGTATAAAATACAAACTTGATTGACTAAATTAAATCGTTAAGACCCTACAGTATTAATAATTATGGTTATTTACCAGACCATACAGAATTATACATGGAAAACCCAACAAAACCAAGAATCAGAATCAGAATCACAAATACTTTATTTATACTCGAGGGGAAATTGTTTTTTGTTACATGCAAGTTTCCCGCCCAAGAATAAAGATAAAAATATAATAAGAGTAAAATAAAAATAAAATAATTTTACAAAGATACACAAAAGGTAATAGATAAATAAATGTCAAAGTACAAAAAATATCAACCTCTAAAAAAGTATATAGCAATATATACAGTTAAGGTGCAGATTGTATGAGCATCAGCAAACTAACTAACTAACTATTTACAACAGTGAAGAAGAAATTCCCTTTTCAGAGAAACAAACCTCCAGCAGAACCGGGTTCAGGGAGGGCGGACATCTGCCTCGACTGGTTAGGGCGAGGCTAAAGGGGAGAGAGAAAAAAAAAGCAGAGACCAACAAGACAACACAAACACTGGACTGATTGGTGGAACCAGTAGCTGCAGGTCAGACCGGTGCAGCTGCAGAACCAGAAATACCTGCAAAGAGGTTCAAGGAGAGAGAAGACCAAAAGTTAATAACACAACAAATGCACGGTGGATGAAGCTATTTATATTGGCATGATTTAGAAAACAGAGTCAAGGAGAAAAATCAAGCAACTGATCAATACAAAATCAGTGGAGACATAAAAAGAAAGAAAGAGTGGAGCAGCTTCAGGAAAAATTATGAGCAAGATCAAATCCAGTTTATTGTCACCTTGCTGTACATGCAACAGCAGTACAAACAAGATGAGAGAGCGTGTCTGCAGGATCCAAAAACTAGAAGCAATTAAATAAAAAAGTGTTTCCATATCCGGATCAGCAGTTCAGCATTCTGTCAGCTTGTGGAATGAAGCTGTTGATCAGTCTGGAGGTTCTTCCTTTAACGCTCCGGAAACGTTTGGCTGATGGCAGCAGTTCAATCAGTTTATGGTAAAGGGTGTGAGGAGTCCCCATCAATGTTCAGTGAGAACACAGATGATGTAGATGAGATGTACATACATGAAAATGAGGCTTTAATTATGATTTGAATTTGACAGGACAGTTTTAAAGCCTGGGTGCAGTAACTGAAAAATCCCTGTGAGTGAGTGTGATTACCAAAATTACAATAAAATCAAATGTATGAAGCATTTCCAACGTTAGATTCTAGTCATGTAAATACTATAAACAAGACTGATTCCATGGCACACTGTCTGAGAAACACCTTCACTTACTCTGCTGCTAACGTGGACATGATCTCAGCATTTTAAACATTTTATGTTCACGTTGCCCTGAAATAACCTGAACATGGTGCATTCAAGTCCTCAATGAGTAAAGATGAAAACACGCCTCTGGCTAAAATCACTGCAAGTATTGTGTCCAAATTCCTCCTGATAAACCAGGCTTGCTTGACTTAAAAACTGCCCATTACATGTAGATTTATTTGTAAATCCGGATGGATATTAACTGGATTTTTTAAGACACTCGCCGCTGCTGTCATCATCATCATCAGACAGCCGCTGAGGGCTGCACCAGGAAGAACCGACAACCAGGAACCGCTGGAGCCGCGACATGCTGTGGTGCAGAGCCGCCCGCTAAGCAGCGCAGTATCCCGCCCCGACCCGCAGCTTCAGGGGGGACAATGGGGGGTTCCCAGAGCGTCGAGATCCCGGGTGGAGGGACTGAAGGGTACCACGTCCTCCGGGTAAGAGGCGCTCTCATGTCGCAGCGTGTTGACTGAGAGGGCTGAGATGCTGCTAGCTCTGGTGCTAACGTTAGCTTGCTGTTGGGCAGACGAGCTCTGCTGCCTGCTAGAGATCCACATTCACATGGTACTGTGGTAAATATCTGGCAGGAGGCTGAAGACGATTCACTCACACTTATAAGCCCATCAAACAGCTCAGTGTGTGTGTTAGTTAGCTTGTCAGGAGCTAACTGTCAGTGCTTTATATGAAGGCTGCTGCTGGTCCGCCCCACAGCTGCTCTAGTTGTGGTAGAAACTCAACGATCATGTGTTTGAACTGAATAAACTCACATGAGACACTGGACGCAGTTACTTAGTATTTAGACGTACAGTCATTTACATATTGAATGCTTTTTTAGCAGCTTCGAAGTTGAATTTGAAGCTACATGATGGCAGAAGAACCGGTGTGGTTACTGCATGACTGATGAAACTGGGCGTTCCTTCCTGTGGTGGTTACATGTTAAATAAATAAAGGTGCCCCTCTAACTCTTATCAGAGGTAAATCAGCTGATCATTGTCTCAAGTGTTAGAATTAAATAGGGGAAAAACTACGCAGTGCCTAAAGCCAAGCCTGAAATATTATTCATCATTATCTTGTATTGACTCACCAACAGTCAAAACCACAGAAAGGATTTTGTTTTTTTTTTCTCCACCAAAGTTCAGTAGACACAGAGAAGTGAAATAAGTTATAATAAAAGATTTTAATGTTGAGAATAGAGCCCAATTGATATATTGGTCTGCCAATATTGGCCCCTTACAGGTAAACTGGTATTGACATATGTGTTGTCCCATATGACTTTTAATTTTTATTTAACAGAACATATTATATAAAAAAAAAGATGCTCCTGGTAATTTCAAAATGGCACTAACCAAAATTTTTCTATTGCTTAATCTATCACTTGTTATACAGATTAATCAATCAACTAATCTAAATGATAAATTTCCCCCCAAAAAAAGCAAAATGACAGTTAAATTTGATTTAATTTTACTGTCAAGCTGTACATCATTGCATATTGCAGCACAGTGTGAAATTGAAACAAAGGTTTACGTATTGTGCAAAGTCTAAATTCTCTGATTCCAGCTCATTAAATCTGAATAATTTCTGGTTTCTTTACTCCTCTATGCCAGTAAACTGATCTGATATCTTTAAATTGTGAACAAAACCAAACCTTTCAGGATGTCTTCTTGGGCTTTGTATCAACATTTTTCACCATTTTCTTACACTTTATAGATCAAACAACTAATCAGTTATTAAGATAGTAATTAACGAATGAAAATATATGTTTGCTGTGTCTGTAGTTGAAGGCCACAGTGTCAGCAGCCTTAGCATACATTATTTCTCACTGAAGAAGACTACAACAGCCAGCAAGTATTGACATTTGTGAACCTCGAACCTCAAAGTTGTTCAAATTTTGTGGTCGAAAAATTACTTAAAAGGCAAACAGGTCATTAAAATTTGTATGCGGGCCAGTACTGACCTTATTAAAGGTATTGAAAAGCAGGTATGGTAATATTAAGTGTCATTGTTATGATAAAATTCAGTATTTCCACTATCGCTTCTTTTTAGTTTGATCCCAGCTGAGCATCAACTCAGTTTAGGATAAGGAGCCAGAATTAGCTTGAATTAGCTTTTTGCAATCATTGTCAAGAATTAAGGACTTAAATAGCTGCTTTGTGGTTAAAATGTTTCCTGTTCATTCCCTTTATATTTATTGTTAGCATATTTTCAGCCCTCTCGACTCTCTGCTTCACCTGTAAGTGCTCTCAGCTGCTGCACATACTCTAAGAATTTAGTCTGAATGAGATCATCTGCTAAAATAGCTGCGTAGTAAATTGCAGCCACCTCTGTGTGAGCTGGCAGATCCAGTGTGGCTAATTAACTGTGAAGGAATGACAAAGACAGTTAGACAAAACGTAGGGCTGCTCCAAAAACTGGATAAGCGCTTAATTCAAGCTTCAAGTAACCATGGAAACCTGCGCTTTCACACCAGCTCGGTGTAAGAAAACTACGTGGTTTTGCCTGTTTGAAAGAAAAAGAGATGTTTGTGATTTCACTGAATGTGTAGACCTGAAATTCTTCTTATTAGCCTGTTTTTTTCCAGGAGTGTTGCAATTATTTAGTGATTCATCTTGAGAGCGTTAAATCACTTTTATGTTTTAGACCAGTTCCCCTCCAACCTGTTCTACCTGTTACCTCTTCATAGACAGCCGTGTTTACCTGTAACCCCTTGTCAGAGGTTGTCTGTCAAGATGTTTTTCCTTCTCATTTTATTTTTTTTAGAAAACTGTATTTATTATATTATTATTGTACAAATGAGGTGGTTTTGTAAAGTACATGTGAACCTTCATACACATGTGCAGACAAATGATAATAACAATAATGACATAAAATGGCACTTATTAAACTAAGGGGAAAAATGGAGGGTTAAAACAAAATCTAAAAAAAACAACAATACTGTAGCACATGTTAATATATGACATTAATTTGATTAATCAGAATGAGTCATTTCCAGTCTCACTTCTTGAACTCTATTATGTTGCTTGCAGCTGTGTATTATTTTAACATGCATATATATTTTTATAAATGAGAAGTGTTGCTACTACGATTGCAGGCTTTGTAATTGTGTATAAAAACCTTTATTTCTAATAAACAATAATTTATTAATTATGACGTCCCACCATAAACAGAAAGGACGATGGATGCTTTTTAATGTAGTTTCTTATCATGTTTTTTCTTGAATTACTTGCTGGGTCTTTTTCAGATTATTTTATCCAATTTGTTTTGGCTTGAAGAGATAAAATCACATAATGTTTGTCAAGTATATTAGAGATACGTCTTGTATCTTCTCAGACATTCCTGATATCCAGGTGGGAAAACATTGATTTTAAGAGTTCGAGTGAGGTCAACGTCTAAAATGTTTCCTCTGTTTCTGATATTTGAAATGAGGCATGTAGGTGTTTTCATCGCTGTGCAATAGTCTGTTAATTGTGAGCTGCCAGGCGACTGTAGATGGATGTTAACCCAACTCTGGTACAGTGCATCAAATGACGATGACATCAGTTTTAAGTTTAATCTTATGCATGATCCCTCACAAGAAAAAACAAGCAACATGATGGAGTTCCAAATTTGTGATGCTTAATCTTCAGTTTTCTGTAGATGTATAAATCCCCAGCCTACTAATCCAGGATCTTTTAACCTCACAGGAGACATTTCTAATAACGGCATTATACTGATTAGAACCTGAAGGTGTAATTGAAAGAATCGTGAATAAACAACATTTTGGCACTGACATCATTTATTTTCCCTCCTACGACTGATACGTTCCCATCTATCTGTGCTCTGCTTATTATTTTGAATAAGTAGTGTATCTTCATGGATTTAAATTTAAAGACACCTACAGTACATAAAATATACAGAATTTAATTTAATCCTATGTGGAGCCATTTCAAAGGTGTCACCGTGGCACATGCTGCCATTCCCTCAAACAGCTTAGTTCCTCGCCTGCCTACTTTAGATTTCTGTTATTATTTCATTAATTTGAACCCTGTGATGGCCTCATGATTCTTTAATTTTGCAGGTGCAAGAGAATTCCCCCGGTCACTGTGCAGGACTGGAGCCTTTCTTTGATTTTATCATCTCAATATGCGACACCAGAATGGTAAGTTGGGATAATAGAACATCCTGCTTCAGGGCTCACGCAGCCATAAGTGTGACGACAAAGATTCGCATGTATTGATTTCTTATAGAACAAGGACAATGACACCCTGAAGGAGCTGCTGAAGATTAATGTGGAGAAGCCCATCAAGATGCTGCTGTACAGCAGCAAGACGCTGGCTGTGAGGGAGACCACTGTCACACCCAGCAACATGTGGGGGGGCCAGGGGCTGCTGGGGGTCAGCATTCGCTTCTGCAGCTTTGAAGGAGTCAATGAAAATGTTTGGCACGTCTTGGTGAGTGTGCGGGTCTGAGTGAAGCTTTGTTTTTGACTTATTCCTGTGACCTCGTGTTCATACGTGTTGTTTTCACGAGTCCAGGAAGTGGAGCCAAACTCTCCTGCCGCCTTGGCTGGACTGAGGCCTCACACCGACTACATCATAGGAGCAGACACCGTCATGAATGAGGTACCTGCTTTACTCATGAGTAGTAACGTTGGAATAAAACTAGCATGAGGTTGGTGTGTGACTTTGCTTCTTTGACAGAGTGAAGATCTGTTCTCGCTCGTTGAAACCCACGAAGGGAAGGAGCTGAAGCTGTACGTTTACAACACGGACACGGACAACTGCCGTGAGGTGGTCATCACTCCAAACTGTGACTGGGGTGGAGAGGGCAGGTATGAAGAAAATGATCTACCCACCTTGGCCTCTGTTGCCTGTTAAAAGCTGTGAATTTTCATATGTTATTGTTTTAAAACACACGATGGAGTTCATTCTGCTGCCTCATCTGGCTGAGACATACATTGCCTTAAAACCTGATGTTCCAGTTGCAACTCTCTTAACATTTTAAATGGATTAGAAATACCATAATGGTAACAATAAAGGCTTCTTAAGTTCTTATGGTTACTGCTACTTGTTTTCTTTTTTTTTAAATGTTATTTTACTTTATAAAAATGTCTTCTGTCTCAGTACAGGATTAGTTGGAGGCTTGGTTTTGGTAGATGTTTTATTTTTAGTTCTTGACTTTCAATCACCGACGGCAGGTTTTTTGTGAAGCCGTTTGGATCCACCAGAGTGTAAAGCTGCAAACGTACATTATCTTTAATAAGAATACTATAAAATGTTTGGATGTTGTCTCGTCACAGTTTTGTTGTATTTCTGTCTCTGCAGTCTAGGATGTGGGATTGGCTATGGCTACCTGCACAGGATACCTACGCTGCCATCTACAGAGGGTAAGAAGATCCGTTTCCCTGCACAGACTCCTAATGAACCAGCACCTCCACCTAAAGATGGCTTCACAGAGGTAACTCAGCATCTTCAAGAAATGATTACATCTGGAATTTATTTATTTTAAATATCGCCTGGCTTGTATTTGCTGATAAACTGTGATTTTGGTCAGCAGGTCCATCTCTCTGCTGTCGTTCCAACTGTTCCAGTTGTTGTGTCCTATTCTGCTTCGACTGGATTAGAGCAGTCTCTGTCCAGCTTGTCAGTCAGCTCCAACCCAACCTCTGTCGTGAGCCATCTGCAGACAGGTACAGTCATCTCTGTCTGTTTGGTGATTAAACTGATCTGTGGCAGAGCAAGCTCTGAAATTAATGTGCAGATCAAGTAAAATGTAAACCTGCGGTGTGGAGCTTTTGTCTCCCCCTTCTGGCAGTGACAGTAATGCAAACATTTTCA